TCGTATTGGGTGGCATTATAATACTATCAGAGAACCATAAGTGTCGATATAATATATACACTATAAACTATACCTATTTTGTAATCGACTGTTTACTCTGCCATGACCGATCGATCCAGGGACAAAAAAAAAAAAAGTTTTCATATCCGGTATACGAGACCAGTTTTATTTAACATTACAAATAAAATAAATAGTATAACATTATGTCAGCCAGCATCGTAACGTTTTGGGATTACGTCTGGTAATAAATTATTACTGTCATAATATATATACGATATACTCACCACCATCCGGAAGGCACCATCACGGGTTTCGTACAGTTCATTGGCGCCAGAGTAGCGTACATAAACTTTTAATATACCGAATTTATGTTATTTTAATAAACATTAAGATAATCGTTAAAAATATAATAATATATGCAAAATCAATGTATTTTATACACTATATATTATAATAATAATTTCGGCCTCAGATTTAAATGTCTTAAAAGCAATAAAAATTACTTTTAATATCTTTTTTGAGTTCTAAAATAATATTAATGGTTAAATAAAAATAAATTTATGCTATTTTTTCTTCGTGATTTGCGGTTATCGTGATTGACGCAAATCGTAAAGAAAACGAGCTATCTATATAATATGATACTATATTCTATCACACACGTCATAATATCTGCCTACTCGTGACAAAAATAATGTTGTCAGATACTTAGGTGAAAATCTAACCTTATTACTAGGGCCCGGATTTTTATGCAAAAATGTTTGTTAAATATGCACATATATATGCACTCAAAAATTCAAAAATATGCAAATAATATGCAAAAAAATTTATTGTTTAAAAATACAAAAATTAAAAATATACCTAGTATTAAGTGAAAAAAAAATACAATTTAAATATAATTTTTTAAAATGTGTATAAAGCATAAAAATTTGTATTAATTATTGAAAGAATACCAATATGATGTAACAAAATGTGCTTTTAAATTATCAAATTGAAAAATTAATAATAAGTTGTAAAATAATGTAATAAAAGTAATAATAGGTTGTGGGGGTAAAATTAAGTTTGGACATTTTTCTTTAAAAGTACCTACACGACTAGGTGCTTTTAAAAAAACTTTTTTTGTGTTAGATATCAACAAATCAACATTTGAGAATTCATCCCTAATAGCTTCTGATAATCTATGAAGCCCATGGGCCATACAAGTAATATGGATTAGTTTAGGATAAAATACCTTAAGCGCATGTCCAGATTTTACCATATAAGGAGCGGCGTCTGTGACATATAATAACACTTTGTCATGCAATACTTTTTCAGGCCATAATATATACTCATTGAATCATTGAATAATTTAATATAATGAATTATATTTGTCAGGAACGTCGGCGATCAGGCAAAATCGGCATATATATCAAACTTTGAGTAAAATTTAAAATATTTTATCAAGTATTTATTAAATATGCACATTTTATGTAATTACCCCAAAATATGCAATTATTATGCATTTTGGTGCAAATATGCAAAAATATGCAAAATAAAAAATTAACAGTAGAATCTACGTTTTACGAAACGTCAAGATATTTAATCAGAATTATTATACGTCAAATGTAGAAGAATATGCATTTGCATAAAAATCCGGGCCCTACTTATTACCTACGTATGGTAGATAAAATAAATAATATATAAGCATAATGAAGCAAACTATAAAACACTAACTTCTGTTTTATTTTTGTTTTTAGTGGTGTAGACGTGTAGTTTATATAAAATTGTTATCAAATATTATCCATTCTTATAATGTATACGAAAAATTTACTCAACTTTTACAAAATGTCGTAACAATAATTCAATAAAATTTTCTAAAATGGCATAAATTTGTAAGGATGGTTTATTAAAGCATTTAAAGTTTTTTTAAACATGGAATAATCAAAAACAAAATATTCAGTTTTTTTTAAGAAGAATTATTCTTTGACTTGAAGGTGGATAGATATTTTGTGAGCATGGAGACATCACCACGCCATCTCATTAGATGTTTTACATGGAAAATGCAAAATAAAAGTTTCATATTTAAGTTATTTGTAGTTGTAAATCAATGTTTTCGGAGATTCAGGAAAAAAATACAATTTGCATTTATATTCCGTACGCCCTAATAATAATGCCAATATAATATTATAATTTATAACGATGGCAATCGTCGATTACAGGATCATGAACAATATTATGACTGCAGACTGTAGATTTTAATAATACTAAGTATCAAAAAAAAAGTACGAGGTTTTTGTATTTCAGCTGTCTGTCTGTCTGTCTGTATTAACACTAAAATATATTTTGAGTAGAAATATTATTCAACATGTAACGGTATTGGTACGTGGTGACATGTAGGTATATTGTTATAGATTATCTCAAATAACATTTTCATGTAATTTAGTGTATTATAATTAAATTTGCCCATATATACAGAGTCATTCATCAAACATGTTCATCCCCCCTTTTTTTCTTAATGAATGCAGATATTCATAACATGATTTTTTAAATTTTAAAATAATATACTTAAAGACCATATTTTCAAATTCTTGAAATTATTTGTACTGCTTAAGGAATTTTCAACAAACTTTATTTTTTTCGAATTTCAATGACAACCCCCCTATTCTATTGTAAATTATTTACCGAAAAATTTTTCTAAAAATGTTGACATAACATCAGAATCAAAATTCGAACTAGTGGTTTTTGTGTTATTTAACTTTTTGTATGTACTAAGGATAATAGGTCCATGATAATGGATTTGAGAGATATGAGGTAATTTGAAAAATTTAGTGATTAACATTAATCTATCGATATAAATAATTTGTTAAGATGGTCCAAGAGTAATTAATATTAGGTCCAATATTTTATATTTTTATAAACCCATTTTATGGACGATTATCCTTGGTATGAACATTTCAGTAACTGAGATAGTACTCGTTTAAATTTTGAATTAGGTACTTACATAAACATTTTCAAAAAAATTTGCCACTAAATAATTTACAGTAAAAATGAAGGTTCTCATTCAAATAACATAATTTTGTATCACCACACTCCTTAAGTAGTACAAAGAATTCAACAGTTTGAAAAAATAGTTTGAGAATATTAAAAAAATTCAGAAGTAACGAATTTTTTTTAAAAATGAAAGGGAAAATTAAACCGAATCGTTCTGTATAAAACATATATTTGTTCATAGACAACGAAACTTTAAATTGGTTACGTCTTGTCCCAGCTTGGTTAAACTAAAAATTTTATAATTATTGTGTTTGTTTTATTATTATTTGGTAGTCCATTTGTTATATCAGTCCTTGGTGTGATTTTTCGATAAAAGGATTAAGGACCAAGTTGTCTAGACTGAGTCAAAACAATCCTCTGCTTATTGTCAGCTTCCACTTTATCCTTAACACAAGGTACGAGGTTTTTGTATTTGTATTGTCCGATACTACTGTCTACTATGTTACCGATACTACTATGTTGAGTAAAAATATTGTTCAAAATGTAATGGGTTTTTTCCTTGCAGTTTTATTTTTTTTTTACTTGACTCGACCACACTTGTGTAATATATGTAATATAGGTTAAGGTGGCTGAATTTAGTTATCGGCCTACCTAGATCGTTCGATATTTTTAGCGTGGGTACAGTATATCTGGGTGATCCGCAAATGGGTATATTCGGGTATATTATGGGTATAATCATTTTATTCAAATCATTTATTCAGCAACTAGTTGTTTTAACTACTAGTAAATACCGCGTACATTGTTGACGGAAATGAGCTATCTTTATCAATATAATTTTCTAATATATTATAATAAAATAATTCTACAATCCATTATTAATTGGTTTTATTAACAGTTGACATCAAACCATTAGTGAAGTTATCGTAAACTTCTGCAGACAACAATAAGAATAAACCATTTAATATTCGTCCTATTTCGAAATCTTTATATTAGTTATTTTTAAAATCTTGTAAAGTCATTATTGTATCGTCCTCCGCTAAATGTTTGGCCCAAGTGAAACTGATAACCTTTTAATTGATCTAAGACCGTTAGACCGAAGCTATAAATACAAAAAGTATTTTTTTCACTGTAAATAAAAATTCTATATCCAAGAAATAAATTTTAAACGAAAAATATACTCAAACACCACTTTCAATGAACACTCCACTCATACGGTCATCGGTTGATTAGTGAATGCAGTACCTAACGAGTAACGACTATAAGGTAATCGTCCGTATCACACCTATTTCATCACGGATTTTTTTTATTAACTAAATGGCTATTTACTAGTTTATTACATTATATACACCCGTGCATATTATAACCATAGTAAATACCTATAGGTACCTATCTAATATGCATATTAGATAATATTATTATTAGATCGCATTTCGCGTCATTCGAAAGTCTTAATCGGCAACCAATTCCGCCTAGAATACCGGAAAACAATAATTCGGATGTCATTATTTTTAGGTGTGGGAACCAATTCGGATGCAGCCAATAATATATCATTATTATTATCGTGTCGTTTATAATATATACGAAATGCAGTTTTGTCTTTGACTGGGTGAAATCGATCGTCAAACCGTCGACGACAGTTATTCAGTATACCGCCGTAATAACAGCCGTAGTAGTAGTACTATGGTAGTAGTAGTAGAAGCAGTACTGTTACACTCTACTTTCACTGGCTCAACACCAAAACTGGTATCACGACGATAGCTTTCGACCGACCGTCCGCGACTCGGACCAGTGTGATAAACTCGCGAGCGGGCACGTCGCAAATACATATTATTTTTCCTTGATATTCGCGCGGGCGTCGTTTTCCCATCGCTTCTTCGAAAAATCGAATCGGAACACGTCCGCCTAACCACCTGTACCTACCACGGTCCACAACGTCAGAAACCGTGGTGACCGGAAGTCGCCGATTTCAATAATAATATTATTGTACGCAACGCGAAAACCACCGACTGCAGCAGATCTCCACCGCCGGCGTCATGAATACGACCACTGCTACCTTCGTCTGGATCGCCCTGTGTTTCTGCTTGTCTTCGTTAGCCATTCCGGTGCCAGACCAACGACTTCGGCAGACCAACCGCGTTGCCGCTGTTCCTGCGGCGCCCGACAGCGTCGCTGCCGATGCGTCCGACCAACCGTTCGATCCGACCCTGGACGCCTTAGCGGACGCCAAGTACGACGAACCCACCTCCGACGACGAGAACAAAAACGGTGGAACCGAGGACAGGGAGAAGCGGCAGTTGTCCTTCGTCCAGGGCAAGCTGTTGAATTTTTTGAAAGTACGGCGCGCTCGTAATATTATCATTATTATTATTATTGTTATCATAATCACCGAACGGCATGGGTGAATGGGTGATGATGGGTTCTTACGACTCGAGTTTTGATTGGACTTGCGTGATTTACCCGATCCCGATGTACCGATAATACGTATGTATATATATAGGTATTTATGCCGTTACAAACACACGTCATATTATTATTATAATTATCACAACTTAATAATTGTTACGTGTTTCCGACCGCACTAACCACTTTCCTCTCTTAATATAATCCTTTTTTCCTGTCGTATATCCTGTATCTGACGTTGGTGGGGGGGGGTGTGGTCATACATTAATTGAACCGATTACATAGCACACATTTGTCTACGCAACCAGTGCGTATAAACGTGGAGGGGGCATGGCTGTAGAAGGGAAGGGGTCCAAGTCCACAGCATCCGACTATGGACATATTATTTAATAACATAATAAATCTACCTAGACTAACAGCAATAGATATACAGTGAACGTCACGTTTCTGTTTCGATTTCGACATTTTGACCCATTTCCGATACTTTATTATGACGTACCTGTATAGTAAAATTTAATGCTATATATTAAGTAGATTTCTAATAATTATTGTCACGATCTAATTACTAGTTTGTAACAAAATCAAAATGAATATAGTGATGTTATTAAATTGGAACCATCTACCTAAATAATACCGCGACTACAGCTTTTTCATACATATCTGATATCTGCCTACCTATAACGCACATATTATACCTATGGTTTATAGTGCAGCAGTGATTTTTTGGACAGTTTCGAATATTTAGTCACATGCACGAAGAAATATTGACAGCTACAGTTTTGCTACCACCATCAGCGCAATCACATCCTATATACGTAACTCGTTAATACCTTATACCTATATAACGCGTACTTAGGGCCGTTCTTACGATGTCCGGTTAAAGTTAACCGACACTTAACCGGAAGAATTCTGCCGGTAATAAAATCTGTTATCAGTCGGTTAGCGTTAACCGACACTTTACCGGACATTGTAAGAACGGCCCTAAGTATTATCATGGTTAATAGAAATACAGAGATTATCATGAATGCAGATTCTGACTAAATTACAGTCTTGGGTGACATTTTTTAAGATCGAAATTCTATATTATGATGTTGTTGTGTCATAAAAGTAAAAGGACCAGTGTCCTTATTCATTTATATACTTGAAAATTATACTTCTGGATTACATTTTGAACACTCATTTATACTATATTGGTAAATTGTAGTACCGATAGCTATTATTTGAAATTTCTTAGCAGTGATCATAATGTATAATCTCCGCATCGATAGTTAGTGTGATAACTATATAGTAAAGCTTAGGTCTTCAGAAATTTCTGGCTCAATCTGCATTCAGTTTTAAAATCTATATTTTATCTTTAGGTAACAAATAATATGCGATTTTTATGTGATTTGGCTGAAAACAAACATTATTATTGTAAAACCAATATTCACGGCTAGTGTTTCACCCACATTTCAAAAACGGTCGAGTATAGATATATTTTACTTTCTATACAGCATTGAAACCTTCTATAATTACTTCTATGTTATCAGCATTCATCTGATTTTCAATATAACTTGTATAATTTTTTATCACACGTGTTTTAACATTTATATAATTAATATGGCCCCTCGATGGACTGACAGGCGATGAAAATAAAATATCCAAGATCCAAGTGAGGTGTCTATTTAACTACGTTGCACACCTCCGTGGAAGCGTTTTTATCACATTAACACATTTTGTGTTAGTTTGTATCATGTTAATCATAATTCTATAAGTCAATAGGCCAGCATAAAAATGATTATATTATGACGTACCAAATTTATAATGATTGTCAAACAATATCCTGACCAAGAGAAATTATACTCACATATTCATGCCTGGGAAAGTTAATGATAATTTTTGATTGAGTAAAGTTGACAGAAAACATTTTAAAAAGTTTAAAGGTAATAGTTATCCTAATTTTTTTTAACTCAGTTAAGAAAAAGTTATACGGAAACTTACAATTAACTTAGGTATTAACTTGTTATTTGTTTATTTTTTTAAATAAATAAATAGCCAGTAATATGGTTTAAAATAATAAAGAAAAAATGTTTATCCAATAATTTTCATCAATAATAATTTTATTATTTAACTATTTATAAATTAACTTAACTTGGATTTGATTAAAAGTAACTCGTTATTTTATTAAGTTAATATCAATAAAAATCAGTTAAGTTAAAAATGAATATTAAATATGTTTATATTAATATTAATGAATATTAAATGGTAAAAGTTAAGTTCAAAAGTTAAAATTAACTTAACTTTAACTTTTTAACTCGTTTATTCCCAGGCATAAGATATATTATTATTAAATACACTATAATATACGAATAATGTATGCCACAGATACTTAAGACTCAATTAAAAAAAAAAACGACTTAGGTAGGTACTTTATATTTTGTTACAATATATTTTACTTATTATCATAATATCCAGTGCCACCGATGAATGGCTTCTTCCATCATAAGTTTTAGTAGTTTTACTTGTGTTAATTTTACCCTTTTCACATTTAATTGGTCTCTACAGAATATATTGTAATAAATAACATCATATGTGGGGGGAGGGCATTTTTCAAGAGTTTGGCACCACTGAAATAATATTCACTTGAACAAGTACATTAATAAATTACCAAATTATTTATATTATGACGTATAAAATTGCATTATTGCCTATTGGTTTTTAAAATATGTAGGTAGGTCCACCTACTAAACACATATTCACATAATATGACATATACCTATAATATATGATGTCTCCTGTAGATAATATACAAATTATTACTGTAATAGGCAAATCATAAGTTTTTGTAGTTACGTAACAATGTTTACAATGGCATAAATAATAATAAGAATAGTAAGTAATAACTGTGTATATGTCCTGCGTATACCCAAGGGTATAATATCATTTTTATGATTGTATTTGCAGAAGTGTCTATATCAACTTTCTCGTGCAGTAACCTGGTAAACGAGTATTGCGCAATTATATAATAAAAACAATAATACTTATTGCATTTGCAGAAAAATTAAAAATAATATAAAAAAACAACATAATATAATATGACAAAAGTACTTAATTTTATGCGGTAATCGTAGTCGTGTAATAATGATGTAAAATAATACATTATCGAGTGATAAATGATAATGTCTTTAAATTGTAACAGCGTCATACGCATATTATAATAACGGAAATGAAAAATAAATTACCAATAATTTGAGCTTACAATAATTATTATAGCCAATTATAAATCACTTATCGACACAAAACGTGATATGTTTTTTTTCAACAGTATATAGTATGCGCTCGAATAGGTTAGAGCTCCAATGAAAGAGACAAATCAACAAAATAAAATGTTCGTTATTATTTTGTTGCAAAAGTCAATCACCCTCATAAACTTATCACCACCCGTTGTCACAATTTAAACCAGATATAGAAATAAGATTGTTTAATAAAACGAATAATAAAATCCACATTAGACGAAACTAAACAAGAAAGGTTCGCTGTCCGACTAACAGAATACATTATTTACACGTTCTGAATAACGAAGATAATTTATTAAACAACTAAAAAAATTAAATTGATAATAAATTAGAAATACCTAACAGTTAGTAGGTAGCCAATTAATTATGCCGATTAAGTATGATTCTGTTTACGATACTAGAACAACTAAAAACTATCATTATATCAGTCAGTATTTTGTTTAATAAATTGGTTATAGTAATATTGTTTTCACTATTATATTCATGTAACACGTTTCTCTAATTATGTATATGTTGTAATACGCAGTGAGTAGGTAAATAGTAAATACAATTTGTTATTATATAGATTCTTCCAATAAATAATGGACATTGGTTGTTCTGCACAAAACTTGATGCGAATCCACATATTTTTAATACATAATTCATAAATCTATTTTTAACAGTAGGTACCTAAATATTTATCTTTTATAGTAGAACACGAAAATGTTGCAATTAAATTATATTGCGTAATTAGTAATTACTTCATTCAAAATAATTTTTGACTAACTTTTGTACATTTATGATCATTTTAACTATTAACTGAATATTTATATGTACACTACATAATTATTTCGTTATAATCTATAGGTACTCTATAGTCTATATCTAGGTATTTAATTAAAAATGTATAATCATAAATTAATATTCATTTTTAAAAATAAAAGATATAACTTCACTGAGAGTGCTGTATAAAATAATATGTTAATTATATTACTATAGACAGTATCAAAATTATCATAGTTACTCATCTTTGAAAAATTTTTCCCTCAGTATATCACCGTAAACACACACTGTAATTATTACGAAATTAAAATTAGTGAACAAAAAATTAGATAAAAAATAAGAATATACACTGGTACCTATAATGATAGTTATATTAATAATAATAAATAATATTACAATGATTATGATTAACGATTAAATTAAGCAATAATTAATATGTACCTGTGTAAGACTTTCAAAATATAATTACCTACTTATCTGTATAATATATGTACTAATGTACATAACATAATATACATATTACATAACTACATAAATATTTACCATACTAACTATAATATTTATTGATTTATTGAGTCAACCATCGAGAATTAATTACAATATTATCTCTAGAAGAAGTTTTACCCATATTATACCATTTACCCATATAATTCCTTATCCAATTTAGTATATATTTTATGTACTTCACGCGTGTAAAACGAAGTATGGAATGTTCTCGTTGCATTTTTTTTATAAAATCCAAGACGTGATAGGTACAAAACGGTAACCAAATATATATTTAACAAATGATTTCAAATATATTGTATAATATAAAACTCTATTTTGAGTATTGTGTTAATCAGACTAAATTATTAGGTACCGAAGATAACATATATACCTACACGTTATAGCTATGATTGCCAAAAGAACAGCACATAGTGCTCGATTAATATAAAATAATAAGCACATAATTAGTAATAATCGTCGACACTATTGTAAGCCATTTGTGAAGGGCAGATTGCTCAGATTATAAACGGAGGTAATTTAATGAAGCTCCAACAAATAAAAAAAAATAATCGTAATTTTTATCAGGTGATTGATAAGTGTTATATAAAAATATAATATTATAATTTTATTAGTCTAATATTGCTATAACATTTTTTTTTTTTTTATTATTTAGTCATTTATTATAATTCATAATATATTGGTTCTTTTTCTTCTGTCCGAATGGGAATGGAGGCACTTGGTCATTTCAATTTTAAACGTTAGGTAGAGTCTAATGACTCAAGATTAGGTAGTGCTAGTTACGGTTTTCGTGACTTTTACATATTTTTTCCTTTTAGAAGTACACACTAAAGACCAAACCATTTATACCTATACGTATGATATAAAAATGCATACATGTTTTTGAATTTTTAAACATTTTTAGCTATAAATTCGTTAGTTTTGTTTTTTATGTAACTTATAACCTATTCCTCTATTCACGAGTTTTTCTTTAATATTATGTTATAGCCGTTACCGGTGGTCGATGTGACTAAAGAAGATGAGAAATACGGCAACGACGGTGACAAGTTTAACAGGATCGGAAGAGGTATTATCGGCGGCGTGGAATCCGTGTCCAATATGCTGACCTCGGCGCTTTCGGTAAATACAACTTGTGACCTTGTACTCTTAAGAAAGATACTATACGTTATCCGTTTAGAAGCATTTGAATATATTTATTTACTTTAATTGGAAATTTTTGAGAAGAAAGATGCACACGATAATATGTAAATATAAAAAACTACAATGTACCTAGTCAGTTGTCGTCGTTTTTTGATTTCACTTAAAATTAATTGGTTTGTTTGATTTTAGTATACATTGTGGATACACGTTTTTAATCTTGAAATAAAAAAACTTGAAAATGTGCTCGAAACCATATTATCGTATAAATTTCTAATGCCATCGACCGATTGATTCAAAACAAAAGCTATTTAATTAACACTCAGCCTTAAGACGTGTCTACCTCGTGGATATTATTATTTTCCTCAGCAATGACTATTTTTCAGAGCACGTTTTTCTTTAAATATTATGATTTTTAAACATTAAAAAAGTATACTGGAGAATGGTAATTTGTCGTGTTATTTAAACACCGAACAAATAGTTAAATTATTCATTTTGATCTTAGGCACTTATTTTAAATATGTTTGGGAGTAAAAGCATATATTTGAATAAAATATTCTTACTTGAATGTTGTTTAAAATGTGTAGGTACGCAAATGTATATTTTAATATATATACCTATATGTGATATATATTTTTTACCAGCCTAATAAATCGCTTATTACCTGTGATAATAATAACTAAAATAAATATCTAAAATCAGTTAGTTTTCAAAAAAAAAAAAAAAAATGATTTAGAGAATCAAATATTCTTGCCTGGGGGCAAACACGATGGGATGACTCATTGGAGGTTACCTATAAGACTTGTAATTTCGATATGGATCAATGAATTGGATTTAATAGAATAGGTATATAATATAATACCGTTTTATACACCTAATTATGATGCAGTAATAACATAAATTATTTTAAAATTATTAAAGAGATTTTCTTTAAAATTACTATCGATGAGGAGTAAGATTTCTCATTAATATTTGGTTTCATGAAATTGGTTTTCATAATATTTTAAGATGGTAACCTTAAAAAAAATATATATATATGGACGTAACAAAATCACTTTTTCTTCGTATCTAACAAACAGAAAGGACTACCTACCTACTGTCTATTGTTACTTTTTTTCAATAATTTACCCTTCCATTTAAAAATATATATATATATATATAGCAAGTGTGATACCACGATTTCAATAGCACCAAGTGTGGTGGTTTATGTATTTCGTCATTTACTAATTAAAGGTGATTTATGATTGAAAGTAACGGTGTATTTTATAATTTGAAAAAAGATAATAATATGACTTTCATAAATTAAATTTAGGTCAAGATTAGTTGATTAATTTACCACGTGTCAAATTTGATGTTCCATCACTCGTATATAATGTTCTATAACATTCAATATGTTGAATAATTTATAACTGTAGCATAACTGGTATTAGTATTTTTAATGATGACTTATTTTTAACATACATTTTCTGGTATTTAAACTAAAACACTTGTCATCAACATTGGGCTTGGCTAAAAAAAATAAAATTCACTTATGTACAACCCATATCTATACCTAAATACTTGCTAGATTCTACATAATATCAATCAAATATAATATCTATATTTAATGCAGAATTTCTGATTAAAATTTTTTGAAATTATGAAATCCGTAATAAATTCCAAGAAAAGATCTACCAATGAACTGGACAGTCTTTGGTATAGTGATGGGTAAATCCCTGGTAAATATAATTTCAAGTAAATAGGGTAAATTAATTTTTTATGCTAAAACCAATCCAAGGATATCACAATATTTTTTTATGATTGTTTCCTGACTTTTCCAATAAAATAATAAAAAAAGATTACGTTTGACAATAACTAAAGTTATCCATTGAAATAAACTAAATGATTTAAAGTTTCATTAAAATTTAAAAAAATTTCTAAAAATTTAACTAAATATTTTCCCAAATGTTTGGTAGCTAAATATTATAGTAGGTAAATACCCAAAATATTTAACTACCCGTCGGGTAACCCACGGCACATAACTAGTCTTTAGAGTTGTAGGACTGTTGATCCGTCATGGCACCAACAATAATATTACAATAATAATTATTCCTATTTTAATTTCGTTTTTATTTATTTTATTAAGTATGTACATGGTTTTGAATCCGAATAATGTATTAATAGGTTTCGGATTTAATAGATGTTATTTTACATTTTTTAGTTGGTAGCAAGTACCTATTCTTATTAGAATATTATTTTTACTATTAAATTTTACTGATAAAAGATTGTATAATTATTTTTAATATTTTAAAAAATGTAAACTTTTATTATTTTTTTTACGATAATTTATATCAATATTAAATTATGTTCATAAATTGTCTCCACCCACGCCTTAGAAAGAGAGTACAAAATACAAAATTACATAAAATGATATAAAATTTTTAAAATCAATAAGTATTTGGGTTTTTGTTAATTTTTGTGTTATGTAAAAAATTGTTTCCGATTTATATGAGTTTTGTGTGTTGGGTTTTGGTTAAATCGGGTACAGGGCAGAGGGCTATTTTTCATATTTTAAATTATTATAATAATTATGCATACTTAAGTAATAATAAATTATAATTTATAAAACTATATTTCACCTGTCTGACTGTCTATTAATTTATATAATATATATATATTTACCTTATTTTTTTTTAATGGTTAGGCTTTTGAATTTCTCATTGTTTATTATCTTAGAGTGTCTACAATACCAATGCAAAGTGCATTTGTGATCTCTTTATTACACTTTGTAAAATACTTTTCCTTATTATATACTGTATTAAGTACCTATAACTACGTTTTGAAAAATTTAAATATGCAATAATCTACAGCCTAAATATTTATTAAATTTAACATTTTATACTTTTTTATTTTCAGTTTCCAGTGGATACCGCTAAAAAATTATCCAGGTCAGCTACGGAAGCGTTAAACAATTTAGGTGGAAGATTAATAGGACTACAATGATAACGTAAATCGGTTATAAAAAGTATCTATACAATAAATGTGTAATATTGTATTTAGTCTTAACTCTGAACATGTGTTATGACGTGTGTATTAAATAATTTTTAAATGTTTAAAACAAATTGATATTCACCATAGATATATAGAAATTTGAAATAGTAGTTAAGATAAATGATTTTTGATGATAGAGATTAATGTTGTTTAGCGATCCATTATATAGTTTTTGTACATACCATTTTTATTTTTATTTTTTATTTTACCCATATTTAGGAACATATTTCATATATTTTGTAATCCACTTCGTTTAAAAAATAAAAATAAACTTAATATGTATAAGCTATATATTTTTTCAATACATTCTGATTTGTAACAATTGTATAATATTATTGTACTAGGTACCTGCTAACATTTCTTTTAATACTAAATGTTTAAGTCAAGACAAAAGTTGTATTAGAAATAAATTATAACATTTTGAGAAACGTTGAATATTATACGTACTAATTCCATTTCCATACTAAGAATTGAGATTTATATTTTAAAGTAAAGTCTTTCATCTTGAAATCTGTTATTTTTCCTATTAATTTGGCTGAGTTATGAAAACTTTGAACAATATTTATGCGTACATCTTGTAGGTATAAAGGTACATATACAGGGTGTCCCGTGAGGATTTACTCATTGCGATATCTCCTGAAATAATGGATATATCGTAATTATGTTTTTTTATTAAGACTCGCAGAGGTAAGCACTACAAATATTTTATTTTTTAATTAAATTAAATTTTTTAGTAAAAAAGTTAAAAAAATTATTTTTTTATTTTTTTATTTTTGAAAAAATTGAAGATAGCCATTCTATAGAGTATATTTTTGTGAACATTTTGAGCTTTTAACATTTTATTTTCATTAATCTCATGATTTTTAATAATTTTTTTAGTTTATTAGTAAAACGTCAATAAACTGGTTTTTGTCCGGGCGGCGAGTCCCCCTCTACGGTTAATGAGTAAATCCTCACGGGACACCCTGTATGTACTATAGTTAGGTACTTACATTTTAATGCCTATTTTGATATTTTGTGACAAATCGCGGGTGGGTACTTTGATATATTTATTGATAAAATGTTTGTCCACCATTGTAGGACAAAGTAGTATATTTAAGTTCCCACATGGAGCATAGCATGCCAAACAATACATATGTCATATTTGCAAGTGTGCAACTGTGAAAGTTCCCAAATAAGTAACACATACTACCTATGTTAGTTCCTAATACGTTAAGATTTAAAATGTCAGTTATTGTACAAAATCATACAAATGTCCTTCGCATTTAAAGACTGATCACTGAAAAGTATTGGCAATTATATATTTTTGTGGTTGAAATTTTTTTGTTTTTGTGTGCAGAATTTTAGCAAAAATTATAAATTAAATATGTATATTGTATACTTACCTATTGCATAAATAAATGTTTTGTATTTTGTTATACATCAGTTAATACTAAAAATAAAAAATATATTAACGTCTGAAGAAAATAAATAAAAAAAGATATTACATCAATTAATTAACAGTGATTTTTAGCAATAATAGCTTTTTTCCATAGATTATTAATAATTTGCCGTAGTGAAAGTTGTTTTGTTTTTTTAATTTTTATCAGTAAAAATATTATTGGTAATAGGCATTTTTTTTCTATCTTGTGTAAATTGAAAATACTTACTCATATTTTGGTATTGGCTACAATGTTGTACGTGTGTGTATCCTACTATATAGTAACCCTCAGAATCAAAACCTTAGTCTGAATAAAATGTGAAGGAAATTTGCCTAATTTTGTGAAGGAATAAACATTTTAAATATTAACTATGCTTTGAATTAATCAAACATATTTGGTTTTACCTTTTATCCCTTATATATTACAATGTCCCCCATTGTCAAGGTGAATTAAGTGGAAACTTATGGTATTAAAATGTAATAAAAAGTTTAATTTTATCTTTGCAGAACAAATATTACGGTTGAAACAATAACAGATTTTTATTTTATAAAGTAATGTCTTATGCTTTTTAATTTTAGGATAATAATATGTATGTTGCATAAAAATGTATTATGATTTTACTATTTAACAATAAAAATGGGAAAGATTTTCATTACTAAATTATTTTCACTACATATATGTGCACATTTTGATACCTGCATATACTACAAACATGTTTCCCAATAAATTTAACTTTTCGACAGTTTGTAATGAATGTCTTAGATGAAGATATAACATATTTATTGTTATACATATTGTACCTATTTATGGCACTAGTCTATAATAATAATATAATAATATTTTTCAACAGCTTTCGTAGTAATATAATATAATATATCCGGAGCATTATATTAAATTTTCTGTCTTTTTTTTCCAACAAATAAAATTTTATTGACATTTATAGAAATAAAAAACTAAAAAATAGAACTTTGAAAATGTCCGTAAGGAGCTCAAAAGAAGTCAATATGTTTTCAAAATTTTATAGTGTATAGAAAATGAAAATATAAACATTCAGTGAAATCTATAATTATTTGTTATTGAATCACAACAAAAAAATAAAATCGCTACAATCGAATGAATAATAATATGTAATATTGTAAACGCTCATTAAAATTTAATTTGACTTTCTTGTATATATTTTTTTTTGATAAATTTAGACAAACTTATTAGGAATTTTGTATAACATTTTCAAATCTTAGATAAAAAAAGAAAAATTGTTGTAAATTTATAGATCAAAATAGTTTGTACATTTTCATAATTTTTATGTATTTAGTCAATATTTGAACTTTAAAATAAAATCGTGTCTATGGATATTTAATATTTTTAAAATATCATAGTAATAATATATTAGAAGTCTTGTATTACATTTTCAAGATTTTATACTCAACAAATAAAATTTTATAAACATTCATAGAAATAAAATCTAAAAAAATTTGAAACTGAAAATATTCGTAAACAGTTCAAGACAAATCATTTTTTTTTGAAAATTTTATTGTGTATAGAAAATGCTAATATAAGCAACCAGTGAAAATTGCATATATCTAAGCTCATTTGTTTTAGAGTTAGGTACATCAAAAACCGATTTTGCGTACAAATTCTCGATATTCTTTAATTTTTATTTGGTTTTTCTCTTTGATTTTGGGATTACTGGAAATTCTACTATGTAGCAGAACTCTACCATTGGTACTTTTTTATTTATTTATATTTTGTAATTTATTTTTTCAAATTTATATGTGAGTTTAACATCGAATAACACTGTAATTATAAATCGTTATGATCAAATATTATTTTATGTACCTATTCAAATTAATATTATAAATCATAACATTAAAATCGACGTAGTTGATCAAAATACTTACTTTAATCTTTAAAAGTGCATTAAATTGTTTAAAATTTTTTTTTTATTTCGATATAATAATATGGAGCACACATTCTGAATAAATATGATGCTCGTTAATTGCTATAAATGTAATTAATTATTTTAAATAAAATTTTAAGTTCATGAATATAACGCATCATTGAAAAATAGTACCTACCTATTCCCTATTTGATTAATTTATATTTGTATTATACTTATGTTTACTTAACTTGAGACATGAGAAATTCAGAAATCTGTATTGATGATTTGTTACTATGTAAATAATTAGTAGGTATATTATAAACCCAATTTCTTTTTTTAATAGGTACATCAGACTATAATTTATTTTAAAGGTCATTTTATTTAAATACGAATACGATCATATTTAATCACCATCAGCCATCTATAAATACGATTTCCTTATCAAATAATTTTAATGGTAAAATTATTATATTCATAACATTGAATATAATTGTTTTTCGTGTACCTAATTATGTATTGTGCAATGCATAATATTATATCATAGGAAAAACTAGAGTAGGTTATTATAGATAGTTAGTCTATTATATATACTAATCATGAAATAAAAAAATCCGCAGATGTTGCTTTACTGTATAGTAGGTTTTATAGTATACAAAATTGAATGTTACTAATACTATATAAAATATTTCTACTTAAATGAAAACACAGGATAACTAATAACGACTAATATGAGGTTTGAAATGATTTAATATACATATGCATACACATTAGGGATATAATGTGTCATTCCTTCTACACACACGTGACATATGCTACACATAAATAATAATCCACAGCCTTTCGATCAGAAGCTTAATGTAAATACAAAATAAATGTACAATACAATCAATTATAGGTGGCACCTTTGTCACACCGTATATTATAAAATCATGAACGCATTGTAACTCATAAGTAGAGTTAGGATGTTGATGACCTAAAAACACACAAAAATGCCTTAAAAACTTCAAAAAGTTATCTAAAAAACTAATTAAGTAAATTATAAGCAAGTTGAAAAAGGTATTTATAAATAATAATTTTTATTAGAAATATGGGTGTGATAATGGGTGTAATAGTAATTTAAAATATGAATTATAAATATATTAAGCATTTAAATAATTGTCAAAAAATGTTTAAAATCGTTAAAACATAAAATATAAAATTTGAAAAATATCGGTGACCGTGAATGCCGAATCACTAGGTACTGACAATAGTTCCTTTTACTGCAATTATAAGTATGTTAATCAATATGTCTAATGTCTATGTCAATTTAATCTTGTTTATCGGATTTATTCCATACAATTTATAAATATAATACTCGATAAGCGTGTATGATCGGCGTATGTCTGAAAGAGCACTTGTTTCATCAATATATTATAACACTTAAAGAGTAAAGCTTATTGAAACGCGATAAATGTAATCACAACAAAAACCCCACAATTATAATATTAAATTATTTTGTGTAACATTTGCCCTAAAACCTATAATTTGAGAAAAATGCCCCACATTGAACAAAAAGTACAAAAAATGTCCTAAAAGATGAAAAAATGACTTAAAAATGTTGAAAAATTATGTTAAAAACAAAAAAATACATTTATAACTAAAAATACCAAAAA